GGTAGGACAGAAAGTGACTTCTATACTTTTAAAATTTGCCCAAAATTTAGGAGGTCTTTAGACCAAGCCAACTATATTTAAAATTTTAATAACTTTTATTTGTAGAAAAATTAATGATTACATTAGAAGAATTTGTAATTTTTCCATTCCCTTCTACTATTTTGTTTTCTTCCATACCACCTTTACCCCAAAATTAACAATGTCAATGTAGGCAAATTGATTATTATCAAAATATCTAATTGACCAATCCTCATTACCAAGTAAATTTTCTAACCTTTTGTTACCTTCTTCTCCAATGAATGGACTTAAGTATAACCTTCTAGCAGGGGAATGAATATCTTTCCAAATCATTTTTAAAAACACCTAAAAACATACCCTCACTACATGGAATAGTTGATGTCTTTTTCCCTAAACTTTTGTAATGTAATGTCAATTTTTTTTTGATATTGTAAGTTAAACTTTCTTTAAATTGTGTCAAGTAGTATTGAACAGGAGAAGGGAGTATCTGAAGGATATCCACAATATTTAAGGTGTTTTTTCTTTTCATGTTGTACTGAACTATTTTTTGTTTTATATGATTTATTGCATATGATGCAATTTTCCAAGTTGTTGTTATCATCATTATTGTATCATTGTTGTTTTCTTGATTAATAAATTTAAAAAATTCTTGATTCATAAATGTTAGTTAAAAAAATTATTATATTAAAAAATTTAAAACCTATATTTATAAATTTCATTTACAGTTTGTACATGAAAATGAATTTGCCATATTGCCAAAAATATTCAAATCCTATGATTTTTTATTATTAGTTTATAATCTTATGGCAGGGTTGGCAAATTGACTGGTCCGTTGAGAACTGATAGATTTTGGACTGGTCCATTGCCATTAATAAAATACTAAATATTACACTAATGGATCCAATGGACCACCAATAGATCAATGGACCACACATTTGCCAACCCTGTCTTATGGGTTTTTTTATTTATTTTTTATCTTTTTTTTCAATTCTTTTTAACATCAGGAAATTTTGAAAATGCTTATACATGCTAATAAATGCATTAACCAACACCAGGCTAATGATCATTGTGTGATGATGTTGATAAACTTATTTCTATGCTACAGGGTCTGTTGATTAAAAATGGAAATAATAAAATCCAATTACCAGGCATAAGTATCCACCTTTGTTCTTTATGACTCCATTAACTCATTGGGTTTAGTGTTCCATGTTGCAATCCAAAAAAGGAAACCAAAGTGGTCACAAAGGTGGTTGCAACCAGGTGTCGCAAACCATTTTTATGTGTCGCAAATATGGTTGCAACCATCACCAAGAATTGCACCCATCACCAAGAATTGCAACCAGCATCTATAATTGGGTTCCAGATGAATTACATTTAACGCTTCATATTACTGTCCAATTTTGGAGTCTAATGTTATCTGAAACAAATACCAAAGTTCTCATCAAATAAGGGAACAAATAAAAAAAAGAAATGATTAGAATTGGTGTACATTTTGTATCTGGCAAAGTCCAGATTCAAGGAGTTGGAATTATACCAGTCTTATGGGTGGAGATAAATTAAAAGTTCCAAAAAATTATAATTTGAAAAGTGTTTTACCTGAAAACAGGGCAATAATTATTTGTCAGTTGTGGGATGACTTTGATGATATTTATACAGCCTTACAAGATCTTACAACAAATCCAATTGCTTTCAAAAGTCAAACAAAATTATGATTGACTAAATTTCTAACACCATCAACTGGTGATCCATGTAAAAAAAATTATATAAAAGGATTATATACAATCCAAGCATGCAATGCAAGTTTCTAATTAATAGGGTATTTAATGTTCAACACACAGCCTACCCACTGACTTACATTACTAGGTTCTATTTAAATAATTATATTCCAAAGGTCCCCTTGAGATGCATATGAATAATTAAAAGGGTTCCCAACTAATAATTAAAGGTTGGCCAGACCATTAACCATTAGAAGGGCTTGGGGGTTAATCACACTGGGTTTATTAGTTACTTACAGTCAAAGACTATTTCATGTAAGATTATATATTTATTAAGAGTTATTATTTTGTTGTTATCAAGGTTGTTGTTATCAACAATATTAACAATTAATTAATTAATCATGATTATTAACTTGGTCTAAAGCCAAGTGTATTTATACCTCTTGGGGCAGTACAAATACTGTGATATGTGCTACTCTACTCTCCAATAATATGCTTATCAACTAATTACTAATTCTAAATAAATATTTACATCAGATGAGTAGATTAATAAATATAAACATAGAAATATGAATAGGAATAATCTTTCATGTGACACTGCACAATGTGCAGCATAGCCATTACAATAATATAGAAAGATGGTCATTAGTTGTGATGCAATATTTAGCGCATCATATGACTTCCATAGTAAATTTGTTCTAATTGGTCAATATTAACTGGGTAATTGATAGATCCAAGGTTTACTATCTCACAACAATAATGATGTGACTCCTTATATCCATGTGTTGGTTCATCATATGTATGAATTTATGGTGATTCACCATGATTATGGAATTAAAACATTTACATGCAGTCCTGTTAAAAAAAAAAATCATATACAAATAAGTAAATACTTTAGAAAAACATTGAAAGATGGTGGAAGGGAAAAAACAAAACTGTAATTGAAATTTTGGAACATGAGAATCATCTTTTATATTATAATTATAATCAAATACCAACAATTAATAAAAGTACCAAAAAAATAACTATAAATTAGATTACCTTTTTACAATTAATTGCATATATATATTTTTAATTTCTAAAATGTAATTTAATTAATTAATTACTTTCATTATTAAAAATATTAAATTAATAAAAAAAAAATTTAAACTTTTGTCATCTTAATTTTCAACTTCAACAAATAAAAATGTCTAACAGGTGAATATCTTTAAGTGTTGTCTTTAAAAACACTTAAGAATATACCCTCATCACATGGAAAGGTTAATGATTTTTCCTTAAACTTTATGATGAAATGTCATTAAAAATTAATGATCCTTTAAATTATGAAAAACAATATTCAGAAGGTGAGAACATTTAAAGTATACTTGTGAAAATTGGAATGTTTTGTGCTTCATGTTGATTTAAACCATTCTTTTGAGTTATATAAATTGTTGCATATGTCTGAGTTACTACTATGTTCAATATTCATTACTACAATATAAAATTTTAAAAAAAATTAGCAAATTACAAAATTACAAAATAAAATTTCCTTCAACTAACTACTTGCAATCCTGCAAGATCCTACTCACTGTATATGTATATATAAAAAAGCGATTGGTTTACTAATAAAAGTGATTGGTTTGGTATTAGTAGAATTCAAAAAGAATGTAATTTACTCCAAAAATAACAAATCGAGGGGCTGGTTACACATATCAAGACAGCAAAAAATGTACCAAAATTTTCAAAATATACCCCAAAAACAGTATAAAATGGTGTAACCTTTCAGAGATCGGTGGATATGAAAAATAAATTTTTTTCTAAATACATATTAATATTATTATTATGATGAAATTTTATGCAAAGAAATAAAAAGTAAAACTTAATAAAATGTATATAAAAATAATTATGGTTAATTTAATTGAATGATATTCTATATACAGATACACAAAAATCTTTCTCCATAATATATAAATGAATAGAAAATAGAATTGATTGATTGGTTGAGGAATAATCACGCACATATATTAATAGTATATGTATGCTAAAGTATATTCAAATTTTTTATTATTGATTATCATTTTAAAGTTTGATTGGTTTTGCTACAATTAAGGGAGGATTAGAGAAAGATAAAGGTGAGGAAGGAAAATAACGAGGAGTTTTGATATTTAAATCAGTAAAAAATTTGAAAGTTTTTAAAAAATATATATTAATTAAAAATTCTAAACAATAGAAAAATCCCACCAATGAAAAAAATAATAACAAGGAAAATAATATTATATATATATTTATTAAAATATTTTCTATTAAAACCTTTTTTATAATTATCCATACACTTATACTATATATAGATAGTGTCACTGTTCCAACCCACGTGAAATATCAGGTTCTAATGAAGTAATAGAAGATGCAGGTCGTGAATAAGGTGGAGTTGGTGGTAAAACTATGGCGGTGGATGGTGATGATAAGGATGATGAAGCGGACGTTGAGGAAATTGAAAGTTTTGTAATTGTATTTGGTAGGCTAGAATTACTATTAGTAGGCTTCCTAGATGTAATGAGTGTTCTACATAATGGACTAATAATAAAATAATAAATAAATAAATAAATAATAATAATAATAATAATTGAAAATTAAATAATTTAATAATAATAATAATAATAATAATACCAAGAATGCATCATTTTAGCGCATTCAACACAAAATCCATCATGGTTACACGGGCCCAATGTTACTTTAGGAGGCATGGCAAAACAAATTGAACATTGAGCATCATAATCTTCTTCTGTAGCTTCTAATTGTTGCTTCCAATCAGAGTTCGATATTACGGAGCGATAACGTGACGTACGCCAACTTCTCCTTTGTATTGAATCACGTAGCTCTGATGACAATTGACCCTGGCTATTAAATGTTTGATAAAAAAATGATGGTGGTGGTGGGTATCTAAAAAAAAACCAAATAATTTTATTAATAAAGAAAATTTTGTAAAAAACAAAATTCTTTTTTATTGCCATATTTATTTATTTTATTTACCGGAATTTTTCTGCTCCAAAATTTATAATTGCTTGTTGGTATGACGTAAATGAAAGAGCTGGATATAATCCATTTTCAGCCAACTTTCTAAATTGTACAAAATTGAAAGGGTATTTTACACCCAAATCTTTTCCATTCAAATAAAATCGAACACAGCCCAGACTAACATCCATATATACACCAATGACATCTCCTAATAATATTTATAAAATATTTATTGTTATTATTATTAACAA